AGAGGATCTCATTGTGGATTACCTCCTGCACCTGCTACGAATTAGCCAGCGTTCCAGCCCCGGATCTCATGGCCCATTCCATGAGGGCACAGGCCTCATCGGCAGCGTTCCTGACCCAGGTGCCAATTCAAGAATTCTTCAGGGTGGCCCTTCAGGGTGGCCCTCAGTGCACATATTTGCTACTTGCTACACTATAACCCAGCATGCTAGAGACAATGCAGCCTTCGGCAGAGCAGTGCTCCAGTCTGTCATTCCATAACTCCGACTCCACCTCCAAGTAGGGTTTGGGAGTCACCTAACTGGAATCAATATGAGCAAGCACTCGAAGAAAAATGGTTACTCACCTTCTTGTAACTGTTCTTCAAGATGTGCTGTTCATATCCATTACAGACCTACCTGCCTTCCCCTCTGTCAGAGTAGCCAGCAATCGGGAACTGAGGGGGTGCCAGGTTGGCAGGGTCATACATTGAGCGCCATAGAAGCCCCAGTCGAGGGGGCTCCACAGCCAACCTGACGGGTGCTGCTAGGGGAAAACTTTCCAACGATTGTGCATGCAGCGTGCACACACCTAACTGGAATGGATATGAGCAACACCTCTCAAAGAAAAGTAGTTATGAGAAGGTGAGTAACCGTTTTTTCCTGAACGCAGTCCAGCAACTGTCCCAATATTGGGGCCCACTCTTGGGGTACAGATCTGCTATGTAGCACCTCATCCTGAGAGCAGCAAACCACTGTACAGCTACATAGCCCCCGTAGGCACAATGCTGACCCTTCAGATTCCCTTGTACATAAACACACCTTCTCCTAGAAGTCCACCCCAAAGGTATGAAGCTTCTGGTTTACAGTTCAACTTTCTTGGAAGGCTTGTAGTAATTGTGAAGCATATAATTCAGTAATTGTGTTGCACTCTGGGTTTTCTTCCTTAATAGTATAAAATACAAGAAAGTGTTGATATCATTTAGAAAACAATAAACATCCTAATCGCAATGCCCCTTACTAGCTCACCCTACCCCGGGTAGTCCTTGGAGGGGGGACCATGTGGTCTCAGGAAGGGAGGCAGGGTCCCCCACACCTCTTGCAAGCCCTGACATACTGGGCTGCTTCTCTCTCCCCTCCTGTTGAGCAAGAGAAAAAATGACCCAGGAAAGATCAGCTCCTCCCTCTTTATAACCTTCCTTTTTCCACTGGTGCCATTGCCAGGTGACCAATAGCGGGAGAAGGGGGGCCCTCAGGCAGAAGGGGTGAGCCAGTGCCGGGGCTGGAGTCCCGGAGCCTGCTGTTCATCCGCTGCCCATGCAAACAGGTAATAGAGAAGGCAAAAAGCTGCACATTCAGTTGGAGTTTGTATGCATCTGTGTATACTGCAAAAATCCCCCAGTATCAAATAGAATTCATAAGTTGTACAGAGCTTCCTAACTCACCACAGCTTCATATACAACTGTTTGGGAGACCTGGTTACACCACAATTGTTCTGTGAATGAGTTATACTATTTTTCCAGTTTATAATGTAGCCAGGATTGTGACCATGTTTTGTAACAGGGCTAAAGCATTGGCCATATCTCCCTTGACATTAATGCCTCTTGGACATGTTGTCATGCTTAAACATGGTTACGGTCATTTTTACTCTAGAAATTTGAATAATTTTGTAACAAATCCTCTGGCATGGTTTTATTTGCAATGTTCATAGGTCCACAGAGTTGCACCATTTGTTCATTTCAGCCAGTTCTTGGTTTGGTGCTAGGGGGTTGGCCTCTAGAGTCTTCGGGAATATTGTTAATAAGAAATTTGTTTGATCTGTTCTGTCTTGATGGCATCAGTGTTAGTCCTTCAGGGTGTTTAACACCTTTTCGAGGCAGGTCGGCTGTCTGGAATGCAGTACAAGAGGCTGCCCTGGGCCAAGTCCAGACTTGAACAGTCATAGTGCTAATATTTTTACATATTGTGTAACATGGAGTTCATAATTTGATACTCTTATCTCACTTTTTCACATGAATAACAAGGCTTTCCTCACACAGCGTCCAGAGCTGGGTCAGATCCACCCCCACATTTCTCCCCTGGCTGCAGGGAAGCTCTGCAAAATCCCTTCTCCCCTCCCACCCCACTTCTTGCGCCCATCACTCCTCAGCTGCAGAGGGAGGGCTTGGTAGGGTGGCGGTATGAGTCGCTCATCAGGGTGGTCCAGGTGCAGGGAACTGGGGCTTATCAGGGGAATTCTGAGTGCAGGGGGGTGAGGCTCAATGGGAGGGTCTGGGCATGAGGGGGTCTGGATGCACAGGGGTTGTGTGGATGGGGGAGAAGCTCCCTGTACAGGGATCCCTCCCTCTGCAGCTGAGGAGTGATGGATGCAAGAAGTGGGGTGGGAGTGAGGAAGGGATTTTGCAGAGCTTCCTGCAGCCAGGGGAGAAATGTGGGGGTGGGTCTGACCCAGCCCCAGATGCCGTGTGGGGCAAGAGGTAGTCTCTTCCTTCCTAGGCCAGCCTGGACTAGCAGCTGAGCCTGGCGCAAGGTATGAGCCACCAGCAAGATCTTCCCCAGTCCTGTTTCCTGCCCCACAGTGGTTCACTTCTCTTCCGGCTGCCCTGGGTACCTGAAACATACTGCTGGCAAGGGTTGCATGACTGGTTTTGTGGCTTCCCTGCCAGAAAGTGATTTTTCTACGGGGAAGCAAAGAAATCTGCAAGGGACATAAATTCTGCACATGCGCAGTGGCGCAGAATTCCCACAGGAGTAGGCAATAGACAGTATATTGGGATTTTCAGGTGTCCCAGTTAAGTGAGCTCTGATTTGTGCACTTGAATTAATTGAGTTAATACACGTACTGAAGCATGTGAGTGAGTGAGGGGAAGGAGAATTGAAACTGGTAGGATACAAGTTGGTCAAGAGCTGTGGGAAGATTGGAGTTGTAGACAGAGAGAAATTTAGGGGAAGCGATTAGGATCATCAAATGAAGGCTTAGGATATGTTTCATTCAAGGGAAGTTGGAAGGCTCCAGGCACTTTAATGAACATTACAGACCTGGCTGAGTCCTCCTAGTATGGGGTCACCAGTCTGTAGTAATTGGACTCAGCCTTTGGATTTCATGTTCTTCCAAGCCAGTTGGCTTGGGCAGAGTCCCACCATGATCTTTAGATTTGGGCTTTAGATAAGGCTCGCTCCTAGGTGCAGATCCTTGTCTGAAATCCTTCCTTGGGACTTGAGACTCCACAGTCCAACTGCCCTAGGCCTCAAGACCAGTCCTGGACTTCCTAAGTCTCTCCAGTTGCTGATGCTTATTCCCCCAGAGTTCCATTCCATTTTGGATACTCTGGTTTATCGTTTAACTCTTTGGTGACCACATGGCAGGTAAAATAAGGAATAGAAGCTTTGCACAGGAATTTCTAAAACCAAAGTAACTTTTACTCTCAAAGCATACAAGAGTTACAGATCTTTAGGTGAAACAACAAAAACTTATATGCCCTCACGCCTTCTTGTGAGTCCTCAGGGCATAGTCCATATATCAAAGTGTAGGCTCCTCCTGCAGTCCTCTTGTTGTGGGCAGTGGTTGGTTGGTCTGAGAGGGAGTAGAGTAGACCTTGATCTTAAGTAAAGTGTCTGTCCCCTCTTTAATGTGACTCATTCACTGGCTTCAGTGTCATAGTCAGGTGGTTAAAGCCCTAGCCCCTCTTAGAGACAAACTGGTAGAATCAGGTTTTTTTGCCTGATTACTCTCTTCAGCAAATACCATTGTTCCCATAGAGTCATTCATAATTGATGGCCCTCTCATTCAGGGTCAGACACCTTAATCTTTCACACTAGACATTACTATAGGCAAAGAGCAAAGCATGGGAAAAAGAGGGCAAGCTAAGCGTAAAAAGCAATGTTTTTACCAAGAGCTCACACTCCAAATACGAGTTTTTGTTTCTCAAGTTCTATCTACAATGGGCTTCAAACCTTTTTTAAGAAACTCTGTTTAATCTTGCTTTGAATGCAGCCCCGGACAAATGAATCAGCACACTCCTACCTAGATCTGTCTTTATTGCCTTTAGATACTTTTAACTATAATTGGATTTCTTCCCCTTCACCCCCATCCCAGCCGACATTTTTCAAGGATAAACATGGTAAGCTTGAGAAGCTGTTATCAATATCCCTTCAAATCAAACTCCTTTTTCAAACTTGGTGCTCAGAACTGTACACAGTAACTCCCTACAAGCTCCCCCTTTTTAAGTGAAACCATTCTTTTCCTTAGCTTTGTAAGTTCTTTTGTTTCTCAGATTTTGTTGGTTTAATTTAGACCATGGATGTTTAAAACCTGGTATATGTATTTTTAAATAAGACTGTGTTTTAAAGTGAGATTTTTGAAAAATATTAGCTATGCAGAATGATTAGCACTGGTACAGTATGCACATCTTGTTAATAAAAATATTTGACACTGAAAGAATGCCTCGAAATATTATCATAAAAGTAGATTTTTTTTTTTTCCTGGTGAATAGTATGAAAATCCCAGTATCCACACACTGTAATACACTCAGTAAATCTGTCATGACTGAATGTAACCTTTATTACATGCAGACTGGGAGTTAGATCATGCCATTTCTTAGGCACTGCAGACTGAATGTTGATGACATACGCATTACAGGACAGGCATGTTTTAGCAGGGCACAGCTGCAGGCAGAAGCTAAAGGACAATTCATTGTTCATGTATATCTCTTTTTTTGTTTTTGCTCTAGATAAATGTTTTATCATTAACAGACTGCTTCTTTAAAACGCCTGTGTGTAGGTAGCTAAAGCAGCCTGCAAAATGCAGGAGAAGCTTAGCTTTACTATGAAGTCTGAGTCTGAGTGTAACCTAACTAGCTAGAGGATATGCAATTCCTGATTGACAGCAGGACTAGCATTATGCAAATGCTGTAAGAGCGAACAGCAGCTGGGGAACAGTGATCAGGGGCTCTGTTAGGGATCTCTCTACACACGCCACACTTATCTCTCTAGTTTTTATCTCTTCTGCTGTTGTGTTTCATTTCAACAATCAATAAATTACACAAAACAATTGTTGCTTTTTTGACAATATTAAATTTAAAATCTCAGAGCAGTTTCAGCTTTTCAGCTAGAGATCTGTGAGAGCTTTTTACTCAAGCTAAATTGGTTAAATTTCAGCTGGGTAACATGCTTATCTTTAAACCTTTCTGTTTTTAAATCCTGTGTGTCTGGTCCCTTCATACTAAAGTGTATTTTGCTTGTTTCTTCCCGTCGTCTTCAGTCTGAAGCCTTATGTAGGTCAGGCTTGGCTTAAGCAGATTTCCTGAACCTGCGTCAGCTTAAGCTGAAGGAATTTTAATAAACCCTCCCTTGTAGGCGTGGGCCTAAATGAGACTAGCCTAGTTAAGCCTGATCTTTTTCTGTTTGTGAAAAAGAGCTGAGCAGAGCTAGGGACTGCATGGTGGTTTCAAAAACTGCCTCCTTAATTCAGAGATAACAATGGTTGGGAAGGCCAGATCTTCTAATTTTACCTTATCTGAAAAGCTTGATTTGCTAAAACTTGTGAAGCCGTATGTTAAAATTCTTGAAGAACATACCAATAAGCATTCAGTAATAGTGGAAAAAAACAAATGCTGGGATATCATAGCCGATAACTACAATGCCATCGGAGTAGATCGTCCTCCTCGTACTGCACAGGGCCTGCGCACGCTGTACAAGAGGCTCAAAGAATATGCCAAACAGGAGCTATTGCAGCAAAAGGAGACCCATTCAGATTATAAAAGCAGCATTTCTGAGCCAACCAAGAAAGTTGTGGAGATGATTCCACAGATTTCCAGTGTGTGTTTAAGAGACAGGAGCAGTTTACAAAGGTGAGATTCATTTTACTTTGTTATTAAATTAAAATTATAGCGCCTCCTACCTACTTTATACGTCTTATTCTTAACTTGAGTTCAGTGTACTAAAGCAAATACCCACAACAGAGCTGAAAAGGATTGGAAACAATAGTAAGATACTATTTCCTTTGTTTTATGGTGACTTAACATTGCATTCTATTTTCAGCTGTGTTTCAAAGCTTGTTTCAGTGTCTTGTGTCATATTCTGGAAGGTGAGGGTTAAGAGGGAATCACAGAGAAATAGTAGCTCCAACCTCTACCCCTCCCTCACCTTTTAATAGGCAGATTATTCAAACACCGAAGAACTGATGGCTATTCTCCTCCATTTAAGGTAATACTGCAGTCATCTTGCTGCATATAAAACTATTACCAGTTTACATAAGATCCATATAAAGTTCAGGGAACAAAGAAATCTATTTCGTATACCTTGTCTGTATCATAAATTATTCTATTAGGCAAATATTGAATATGTTTTAATTGAATCCAGATCTTAAGTACTTTGTCTCCATACAGTAAAGTGCCTTTAACAATACAAATAGATTTGTACAGATTACCTTTCCTTCACTTGCTGACATTTTCTGAAACCAGAGCAAAGCTAATTGCAAAATAAACTGTAAATAACAATACATGTATTGTATGCTAGGCAGTTTGGAAGCATATAGACAGAGATTGAGGAGCTACAGAAGCAGAAGTTTTTTCTTTTGTAGTTCTTTAGTGCTCCATGAAGTAGGAGACTGTCTAGATTTGAATCAGACATAGTACAAGCAGGCAGTGGGCAAGCTTCTCCCCACAACTGCTATAATGCCCCTCAGTTCAGACTTGCAACACACTCTACTGGTACAGTATTGATCTTTCCAGGATCAGAAACTGCCAGGGTCAGATTTTGCTTCCTCTGGATGCAGATATTTTAAACTAACAAGGATAAAAGTAAACATGATAAAGCTACATTTTTACATTATTTTCATTAGCAGATCAAAATAATATGTGAAGTTGGCTTCCCATTAATCAGATACTACGTATAGTTGGTTGGTGCAACAGCTAAGTGTTCTAAGGGAAGCTGGCATGTGCACACATGGGAAGTTTGATTCATGGTGCCAATGACTGAACTGAATGGTAACAATTGTCTAAATCCTAACGTGCCAGATGCTCTTAAAAAAAAGAAATAACATGCTCTTGTGGGGCTTTGTTGTAAAGAAATCTGTAACACCAGTGCAGCCTAGTTGCTACTGGTGAATGCCCATATAGGTAAAATTCAAAAGATCTTATAAAAAACAAAACAGCCTTTTTAATTAGGTATAAAAGTGATGTTTTGATCACCACCTCCTGTAATGAAAAAATTAGTCTGAGAGCTATAGATGTTACCGGGACTTGTATATAGTAATGGTGCTTTTCATGCACAGCATATTCAAGAGCCAGTGATCTCCATAATTTGATTCCTGCAACGCAAACATATTTGAAATCTGTTAGGACTCTGAGAACAGTGAATTGGGGCCCAAAATGATTTCCCCTAATATACCAGTTGGTGCACTAAGTATTGGAGAAATACTTTTAAATAATTTATACAAAATGCACTATTATTTTGTATTCTTTCATTTTAACCCTGAATTACACCCCCCACCCAAACATAACCAGTTTTAACCCATTATAACATGACTTAGTTTTTGGAGGTATATATAAGTAGGTGACAAAGTCCTAATGTCACCTGGTATCTGGTAAGAAATTCTTACCTTAATTTAATTTAATTAAACAAAACCTGTGAATCATGGGTGCCTCAGGGTTATAAATACCACCCCCATTATGGTAACTGTTATTTCTCTTTCTTTCAGTGGAGTTGGCAGGAGTCCCATTATAACTGCCAAAGAAGAGCTTCTCTTATTACAGTTCCTTCTTTCTGTTTTCACCTTCTATCTTACTGTTGTTTAGCTCTTAAGAAACTAACTAGAAATAGGTTTAGAGTAGCCCAAGAAAGCTTATGCTCTAATAAATTTGTTAGTCTCTAAGGTGCCACAAGTACTCCTGTTCTTTTAACTAGAAATAATCCACAGGTCTGAGTCACATGGAGGCTTAGCATTTTGCTAGTTTTTTGATGGGGTCCACTGTAGTGGATCAGTGTAGATTTCTCACCATTGGGCTGTTCTAGACCGTATCAACTCCCAGTCAACCTCACCTCCCCTTTCTGGGAGCCTCTCTTTCTCTTTAGCTTGACCTGCTTCTCCTGATACTTGTTTCCACCCCTTGCCTCAGGCTAGGAACAGCAAGGAAGGGTGAGGAAGGCCACATTAGGAGCTGAGGCTATGGCAGGAAGAAAAACAGCATGTAGCCAGCAGTGGAGAAGAGACTGTCAGTAGTACTTGGCAGTGGGAATGGAGCATGATGCTCTGTGCTTGCTTGGGGAGAGAAACATTACTGGTTGGAGGGCACAAGAGGCTCAAGAGAGTGAAGTTTTTGGGTGAAGTGAGAGGGAATGAGGTACTATATTTATTATAAGTGAAGCAGGAAACAACACCTATAATTAGGCTTGCCCAACACTTCTCATTTTAAGACCTGTTTTCAATTGCTTATAACTTTGCTAAACTTTAATAATTTGGGTTGAAAGTTTCCATACCAAGTGCTAGCCTTGGGCTGAATTTTTTTAATTCTGTGTTTGTACAGTATCTAATGTACAAATAATAATTTTCATTAAGAAGCTCTACTGCCTCCATGCTTTAAAGCAGGATGGTCGCCCTGGTGTCAGTGATGTGCCTTTTGCCATCCTTATGAAAATCCATCCAAATTAGGCTCAGTTAGGATCCCCTGAAAATCTATTTGCACATATTCAATAGAGGCTTGTTACCATGTGGCAGTTTAATACTCTGAAAATTCCATCTGGGCACGCTCCAGCCTGAAGCTGCAGGGGCTGAGCAGGACTTTCTGTGCTGTTGCTCTTCAGAGCTATCGGGGATGGAACAGAAACTTAGTTTTGTATGCTCTCAGTACTTTGCCTGCTGGCACCCAGACAGCAAGGAGGAGGAGGAGGAAGGTTTCTGGATAAAATGCAGAGGAGTGAGAAGCTAGACCTGAGGGATGGCTGGGGATGGTGGGAGAGACTGGGAGGAAGGGGTGGGGAGGTTGAGAGACTGGGGCATGGAGAAAGGGAGTGGGGGAAAGACTGTGACTGAGGACAATTACCCAGGGGCAGGGTGAAGAAGGGCTAGGAGCAGAGAAGATCAGACTTGCTAGGGGAGAATGGGAATGGGACAGAAAGATCTGTAACCACTAGACTACACTCTCCTTAGAATCTGAAATAACAAAAAATTCCAGCATTTCATCATTCTTCTGCTATCAGGAAATATCTGTGAAACTGTCTGGCAAAACGTTTGCTTTATCTCCTCCTAATGACTAGCCCATGTACAGGATGAGAACCTACTGTGAATATCATTTACTCGGTTAACTCAAATGGCAGAGGTCTGTACTGTGGATCTAAGAGTTCCAGCCCTAGTGGTGAACAATGTGGTTGGCAGTATTGTTTCACATGCTGGAATTTTGTTTTTTTAGTTTACTTTTTTAAAAATATAGTAAATTGCATACAAAAAGAATGTTAAGGTTGTAAAGTCAAGCACTCAAAAGTTAGGAAGTAAAAGAATTAAGGCCCATGCAACCTTAATTGTCCCCCTTTTGTGTATGTATTATAATACAGTCTTTAATTACATGATCACATTATTTTTCCCACAGGACTCCTGCCTCATTCAGTACACAAGATGTACACTGCTTAAGGAATTAATCTGGGCTGTGTATAGAATGAAGCAGTTGTCAGTAGGCCCCGGGCCTCATTTGTTTTACAAGTTGAAAGGTGTGTAGTGAATGAGTCAGGGTCTTGCATGAAGAGAAAGGATGGTCTCATGGTTAAGGCATTTGAAAACTGGGTTCTATTCCTGCCTCTGCCACAGAGACCCTGATCCACAAAGGGATTTAGGTGTTGTGACACTCAGCATTGTAATGCTTGACTTTCAGGTTCCTAGAAAACCACTATCATCACTGGGATCCACATAGCCTGAATTAGGTGTCTATGCTCCCTATACAATGCATAGGGAGAAATAGGTGCCTAAGAACGGGATCCACAAAAGCCCGCACACTAGACAGGGAGTTGCCTAAGCTAGCTAATGGGAGATGCTGCCAAGAAGGGTGTGTCCTAAGCCTTCCCCTCTCATGAAGTTAGGCACCTCCCTGTAGTTGAGATCTAGGTGCCTATCTCTGCATTCTACAGCCAGAAGTCCCTTTCTTGGAGTCAGGCAGTTTAGTTGCCTAAGCAAAAAGATGGAGAAGGAGGTGGATGTGTCTCCTTTATGACTTTTAGCTCAGTGGTTAGAGCACTCACCCAGGATGTGGGAAACCAGGGTTCAATTCCCCCTTATGTATGATGGGAAGAAAGGATTTGAGCAGGGGTCTCCTACCTCTTAGGAGAGTGCCATAACCACAGACATATGGAATATTCTGATGTGGGGCTTCCTCAGTCTCTTCTATAGAATCTGTTCCTCCACTTTGGGTAAATAATTAGAGTCATTGGGGCAGAGTGAGAGAGCGAGACTAACTCTGTAGCTTGGTGGTTAGGGCACCCACCTGACAGATAGGTGAACAAGGGTGTCTAGTTCCACTGTTTGGGTTGCATAGGGAAGATAGGTAGGGGACTACCTCATTTCCCTTTCTTTCTTTGTGGATTTTGCTGGGGCTTAGGCATGAGCTAGATTTCTGGACTTCTAGAGTGAGGCTGCAGTGTACATGCTCAAAGTGAGAAAACATAGGCATCTACCGTAAAAAAGTTATTCATTGAGTGAGTTTTGGTGCCTATGGGATTACGCAGCAGCTGAGACAGGGAACTGTGGATTGCAGTGATGCCTAAAACTGGGATTTAAGCATCTAAGTCCCTTTGTGGGTCTTATGTGATGCTAGGCAACTCACTTAAACTAAACTTTTCACAGGTTGCCAGTAACTATGGTCAT